GCTCGGTATTCCTTATTATGTGGGGTTGTGAAAATAAACCCAATGCTTATGAGACTCCTTCCTTCCCATCTGCTTCACATGCATGTCTCATTTCAACACATGCTTCACATGCGTGTCTCATTTCAACTGGTCGCTATCATTTTCCCCATTTTAAAGATGAAGAAGGCTGCAGACATGGCTCAGTGGTAGAGCACTTGCCTAGCAAGGTCAGTCTTCAGTGAGAGAGAGAGAGAGAGAGAGAGAGAGAGAGAGAGAGAGAGAGAGAAGGAGGGTTAGGAAGAGAAGCCAGGGGAGAAGAAAAGAGAGGGGAGAGAGAGGGAGAGGTTTATAGCCATGCATTACATAATGATATTTTGAACAATGAAGAAAGTGACAGTGGTCCCCTAGGATTATAAAGGAAATCGGGTCATGGTAGCAATCCAGCACTTGAGAGACTGAGGCAGGAGATTTCCAGTTTTAGACCAGCTGGTTAGTTTTATGTCAATTTGACACAAGCTAGGGTCACCTGGGAAGAGAAAAGCACAATTGAGAAAATGCCTCCATCAAACTGGACAAGCCTATGGGGCATTTTCCTGATTAATAGGATGGATGCATGCGGGGGGGGGGGAGGAGGCCACAGTACACTGGGGCAGTGTCACCCCTAAGCAGGTGTTCCTGGGTGGTACTCGGGAGGCAGAGGCAGGCGGATCTCTTTAAGTTCGAGACCAGCCTGGACTACCAAGCGAGTTCCAGGACAGCCTCCAAAGCCACAGAGAAACCCTGTCTCGAAAAACCAAAAAAAAAAAAAAAAAAAAAAAAAAAAAGAAAAGAAAAGAAAGAAAGCAGGCTGGCAGCTGGAGAGATGGCTCAGCGGGTTAAGAGCACAGACTGCTCTTCTAGAGGACCTGAATTCAATTCCCAGCACCACATGGCAGCTCACAACTGTCTGTAACTCCTGTTCCAGGGATCTGACACCTTCACACAGGCAAAACACCAATGTACATAAAATACAAATAAATAATAATAAAAAAAGAAAGCATGCTGAACAAGCCATGGAGAGCAAGCAGCCCTCCTCCACGTTCTCTGCTTCAGTTCCTGTCTCTAGGTTCTTGCCTTGATTTCCTGCCCTGACTTCGCTTAGTGATGGATTCCATAAAATGAAATAAACTCTAGCTGGGTGGTGGTGGTGCATGCTTTTAATCCCAGCACTCATGAGGCAGAGGCAGGAGGTTCTCTGTGAGTCTCATCCTGGTCTACAAAGCCAGTTCCAGGACAGCCGGGGCTGTTACACGGAGAAACCCTGTGTTGAAAAACAAAAACACCCAAGCAAGCAAACAAAGATGAAATAAATTCTTTCCTCCCCAAGTTGCCTTTGGTCACCATGTTTATTACAGCAATAGAAAGCAAACTAGGACAATGAACTACGTAGCAAGGCCTTATCTCAATGCATACACATATATAGTTGGGGCTGGAGAGGTAGGTTCTTACAGAGGACCTGGGATTGATGCCCTCTTCTGACCTCCATGGACACCAGGCACTCACATGGTGCACAGAGATATACATGTGAGCAAAACACTCACACATAAAATGAATAAACCTAAAATAGTATTAAAATGATAAGGAAGCAGAAAATTTCCCACTTCCCAGGGATGCTGTAGTCCCTGTTACTGTTGTGGCCCTGCTTTGTTCTTGTGCTGTTCGTGTTTTCAATCCACTGCATTGCCAGCATAAAGCGTTACAGCAGTGCAGTTGTCCACAGGACACAATACATGATAAAGACAATAAACCACAGGTCTTAAAAATCTTATTCTAAAAAAGGCTCACTGTATCTGAAAGGTGGTGCTGCACATCTTTCATTCCAACACTCGGGAGGCAGAGGCAGGTGAATCTCTGTGAGTTCAAGCCCAGCCTGGTCTACAGAGTGAGTTCCAGGACAGGCAAGGATACATAAAGAAAACCTGTCTCAGAACACAAAAACAAACAGAAAGATTCACTGTAGAAGAGAATGCTCAAGGGGGTCCCTGCAGGTGTCATACAGGAAAATGAGTATCAGGAAGAGATAAGAATAAAAACCAAGTGCAGACTGACTTCATCAACCTGGATCAGACTTGGGGGGGGGGCGTCTACCAACAGACAGTTTATTCCCAATATATAAATCCAGTACAATTTGGGGGGGAGTTTCCTGGTGTAATACAATCCCCAGGGCACAAAGAAGTGTAATTACATAGAAACTCCACTCAGGATATATGTCATTTCTTTCAAGAAGATGGGTTCTAGAGATAGGCTATTCAAACTAGTTTACAGGCCTAAGGGTCTAGCCTAGTCTTGGTCATATAGCTAATGTAGAGTGACTTGGGCTATTAGCCACTTCTCATTCTGGTTGTGGCAGCTTGGGGGAAGCCTCTGTCTATTAGGGTCATTTAGATTACTAGCTACCTCTCAGTCTTGGCTGTACTAACTTGATGTGGCCTGACCTGTGGGGAGCCGCCCCCACATTCTCCGTTACAAGATGGCGCCGACACCCGTTGTCAGTTGGAGTAAACAACCTTGGTGCGCACGTGCCTGCTACTTTTCCATCCCTTACTCTCAGCCTCTCCCGAGGCGTCATATGGGCTGACCAGCAGGAGCCAGTCAGGAGATGACACGTCCGAGGCGGGGACTGCTGGGCTATATAAGGGTTGGGCTTTCCGCTCCCTGGGGTCTCCGCTCTGTAAGCTTATGCTCTCCCTCTCAAGACGCATTAAAGCTGTTCTGCAGAAGGATCCTAAGTGTGCCGCGTCGTTCTTGCTGGCGAGACGGTAGCGCGGGACACTGACCCAAAAGAGAACACAGATCATCAGGTTGTTAATCATTTCCAATTCTTAGTTTTCTGGATGGAAGAGCAGGTTTTTCATCTTTTCCATTGGAAAGACAATCCTGTGTGCTTAACATTCCTGGTTTCTCTGGAGATCTGTGGGTGCAAGGACTGTTATGCTGTGCTTTCAACAAATGCTGTAGGCTGGCGTTGTGGCACAGGCTTGCAGTTCCAGTCTTTGGGAGGTGAAGACAGGAAGATCGGGAATTTAAAGTCATCCTCAGCTACATCAAGGCCACCTGGGCTACAGGAGACCCTGTCTCAAACAAACAAACAGGAAAAACAGGAGTGCTGTGTTACACTGACAACAGCCTATTTCATCTTGTTCTTATAATGTCTCAACTCCATTGAGAGGCCATGATGAGTGGCTGCCATATGTATGCCATATATGTTTGCATAAGTACCCTTTGATGTTTGCACAATGGCAAAATTGCCTAATGATGCATTTCTCAGGACATAACCCTGCCAGATAAATGGAGGATGATGTATCTCACTAGTGAGCTGAGCAGCATTTGAACTGAGTCCACTTTTGACCTAAGTGACTTTGAAAATGGAAGCAGTTTGTTCATTTCTTCCTCCCTGGCATGTATTTAGGCTCCTGCCCACCTTCCCCCTTTAAAATGTTATTAAAGTGGACATCCTTGTACATGCTACTTTGTATCTAAGTGATGTCTCCTAGGGTGGACTGTGATGATGCACTGGATAGGGAATCTTACCTTTTTTTGTTTGCTTTTGTTTTTCAAGACAGGGTTTCTTTGGTAGCCTTGGCATTCTAGAACTAGCTTTGTAGACCAGGCTGACCTCAATTAAAAGTGCTCCTGTTGTCATGGCCATGGTGTCTCTTCACAGCAATAGAAGACTAAGACAGCATCAGATCCCCAGCAGGCATGTAGATACTGAGAACCTTACCCAGGTCCTCTGCAAGAGCAGTCAGGGCTCCTAACTGCTGAGCTTTTATGCAGCCCCGGTTGGATGGGTTTTATGTACCATAGACTGACATTGGGTTTGCTGTTAATTAGCCAAAGCTGACCATGTTAGGCAAGCACTCTGCCTGCTGAATTATTTCTCTAGCTGCAGAAAGCTTTTTCTAACTTCCATCTTGCCAACTGCAGACCTTAGTGTCTTCATGAAAAGTATAAAATTTGGAACATACCTAGCATGACTTTGGACATCTGATGCTTTCCTCATATGTATGTATGTATATATCCTTGCACAGAGCATGGTGTGATAGTTTAAATAAAAGTGGTGCCCATAGGCTCATATATTTGAATCGTTAGTCACCAGGGAATAGTACTATTTGAAAAGATTAGAAGGATTAGGACGTGTGGCCTTGTTGGAGGAAGTGTGTCACTAAGGGTGGGCTTCAAGGTTTCAAAAGCCCATGACAGACCCAGGTTCTCTTTCTGCTGTCTGCAGATCAGAATGTAGGAGTCTTATCTACTTCTCCAGAACCATGTCTGCCTGCATGCCAACCATACTCCTCATCAGGATGATAATGGACTAACCTCTGAAACTGTAAGCAGGCCCTCAATTAAATGCTTTCTTTTATAAGAGTTGCCTTGGTGGCCATGATGTCACTTCATAGCAATAGAACAGTGACTAAAACATGTGGAACAATAGATCAGTAACAATAGGACTGTGACTAAGACACACAGGCCTATAATCTCAGCACTTGGGAGGTATGGGTGGAGGATTTAGAGTTTGAGTTCAGCCTGGGATACTTAGAAAATCCAGCTCTAGCAGGGAAGAAAGAAGAAAAGCTGGGCACGGTCATCACACGTGTAATCTTAGCACTTAGGAGGTAGAGACAAGAGGGTCAGGAGTTCAAGGTCAGTTTCAGATACATTGTGAGTTGGAGGCCAACCTGAGCTACATGAGACTCTGGAGAGAGAGAGAGAGAGAGAGAGAGAGAGAGAGAGAACAGTCAGAGAGATGGTTAAGAGTACTTGCTACTTTTCCAGAGGTTCCCTGCATACACATGGTGGCTGATAACTGTAACAGGGCCCTAGACTTTAGTAGCCCCCAAGACCTTAGCATAAATGACTCCATGATGGAGGGACCATTCAGGCTGTAGAATCAGCACATAGACAGTACCACCTGCCCAAACTAAAAGACCCAATTCATCAAAGCCTGTGAAAGTTCTGGGAAAGTCTCTAAATGTACCAACCTTGTTTTTTGCTTCTGTAGCTCCTCTTCTGGTTAACTGTTCCTGTTAACAGAGATATATCAACTCAGGATATGGCTTTGTGCTTAAAATCTCACCCTGAGAAAGGCTTGGGGCTACACTGGGATCCTGAACACACAGGCGGGTTAATAAGGACTTTCTATTGGCTTACACCATGTCCTAGCAATCTTTTCTGGTGGATACCCCACAACAACCATCTATAATTCTTGGTCCAGATGATCTACCATCTTCTTCTGGCCTCCATGGGCACTGTACACATGTGGTACACATATATCCTACATACAGGCAAAATGCTCACACATATAATATAGGCAGTCAGAGTTGAAGTCAGGAAACATCCAAGAAAATTTATTTTCTTTGAAATTAGGTCTCATATAAGCCTAGGCTGTTCTGCAAATAGATACAGTCAAGGATAACCTTGAACTCTTAACTGTCTAGGATCATGAGTGTGCACCTCTACGCTGGCTTGGAGGTTTTCCTTCCTTGTTACAAAGTGGCAGAAGGAAGAGGAGGCCTTTGTTCCTGCCTCTGGACACTGTCCTAAAGATAAGGTATTTCAGTTTCAGTAGCCATCTGCTGAGCGTGTGAGAAGCCAGTCTGATGACCCAGACAATGCCTGAGGATAGCAGAAAAGGGAGAAAGAAGAACCTGGGTAGTTGTTTAAGGTAGACACCTGTCATTGAATTGATGTAGCTGGAGCCCGCCAAGTTCTGATTCTTGTAAGTCAGGAACAATAGCATCCTTCCATTGCTGAGTCCTTCTACAATTGGACTTTAGGCAGTTTGTAGCAAACTTCTGACTGTGCCAGTGAAGGATAAGGTCCAAGGTGTGGCCACAGAGTACAGTGGTGGTGAAGGTCATGGGTGGTCAGGAGGTGAGAAGTCAACAGGCCAAGGTAGGGTGAAGTCAACCACATGAAATGACAATTGTCCTAGGGGATGGGAGGGCTTAGGAGGGGCAAGAAGAGCACAGGGCAGGAGCCAGTCTGCAGCAAATGAAGAGGAGGCTAGGAGACGCAGGCAGGAGGGAAAGTCACTGAGTAGTACAGAGCTGTAAAAAGCTGATGTTCGAATGGGAGATAAACTAGGATCATTCTGCTTCTGAAGAGTGAAAAGCAGTTGATGTCGGATAAAATAGTGCACAACTATAACCCCAGCTGAGCAGCCTATTGAGACAGGAGAATCTGAGCTCAGGCCAGCCAGATTCCATAGTGAAACCGTGCCTCAATACACCCAAACAGCAACAAAAACCTGCCCATGGCCAGTGCTCCTGTAACCCCAACACTCTGAGGAAGGCGAGCCAGATGGTCTCTGGGGCTTGCTGACTGCCAGCTGAGCCCAAACCTGGAAAAGCACCAAGCAAAGTGAGACACCTTGTCTCAAGGGAATAAAGTGGAGACCGATAAAAGAAGACATCAGATTTCTTCCTCTGGTCTCCAGGGCACGCGCACACACACACCAAACAAAACAAACAAAAACACAGAGACGGTCCTGCCACTTAGATCTCTCCTGGTTTGGAAGTGCCTGTTCTGTCAGCCCATTCTTTCTAGCTTCAATCTCTCAGTGAGTTTGCCTTTTCTCATCACCTTATAGAAAGCCTTTGTGAATACATGATTTGAGCTTTTGGTCTGATATACGTGTTGTAAGTATCTTCTCCATCCATGGCTTCTTTCCACTTTTAAGCAAATATTTGTTACACAATCCTATGTGTGTAAAGTGGTTATTTTTCACTATGCTTTTTCCCCCTTAAGGGTGTAGGCAGCCTCTCTGACTTGGCACTTTTTCTTCCTTAAGGTTTATTTTTATTCTATGTGGATGAAATGTTTTTTGCATGTACACACACCACTTGTGTGCTTGGTGCCAGGTTACAGGACAGCATCAAATCCCTCTGGAGTTACAGGTGGTTGTGACCCACCATGAAGGTGCTGGGAACCTGACTCGGGTCTTTTGGAAGAGTAGCCAGTGCTCTTAACTGCTGAGCCATCTCTGCAGCCCCTGCAGTACTGGATTTCAAACTTCTTTTCCTTCTTGGTCTCCCTCGGCCACCACAGTGAGCTCTGGTCTGATGAGGTCAGGTGGTGTAGCGTGGCCACCACACACTCATTCCAGATAAGGTTAGTGGGTCTAGGGACCAAGTTCTGGCCTTGGGTCTGGCAGACAAGGTTCTCTGGGATGTCCAGCTGTCACATTTTCACGGATCCTAGGACCTGCATCGCCCACACCAGAGCACAGGCAGGATCGATATGCAGTGCAGGCCTGAAGTGCTACCATGTAGCCTCTCAGACAGCCTCTCCAGGGTGGCTGTGTTTCCCTGTTGGAGAGAGGCTAGAGGCTCTGCACTTAGTAGAAGTTCAAAAATCCTATAGACAGGACCATCAAGATGGTTCAGTGATAACCTGATAACCTGAGTTCAAGTCCTGGGACCTGCAAGTTGTTCTCTGACCTGCACTTTCTTTTCACAACCCTGCCACAAGTAAATAATTTTTGAAAAATCCTCTATAAAAGGGTTTCATGGGACTCCCCTCAACCATAATGACTCAAAATGGAATACAAAGTATGTACGGGGCACTACAGAATTTCCATTCATCATTCATTTGCTGACTCAGCTGCACTGGGGTCTACACTAAAGGTGGAAACAAGCCCAGAGTCCACCTCTGCTTTAGACCTGGACAAATGACTTGTGGTAGGCTAAATGGCTCCTGAAAGACAGATTTGCATTCGGGCTAGCACTGCAAAGCCCTATATTGGATCCCTAGCACAGTCAGAAGGAAAAGTATACAGGCACGCTCAGAGGGTAACTTTGTCTTCCATACAGTGTATGATCTTATCTCTAACCACTTGGGAAGAGGCTATGAGCATCTTCCTGGATGCCTGGATTTACAGAGACCGCCCATGTTTGTATTTCAGGATCTAGGTCTCTGGAATGACCTTTCAGGACTCTTCTCCATAGACTTTTGTTACCCTTTTTCCACTTCACGGTTTTTTCTCTATTAGAAAGGGGAAACTGAAATATTAATTATTAACACAATCCTGGGGCTGGAGAGATGGCTCAGAGGTTAAGAGCACTGGCTGCTCTTCCAGAGGTCCTGAGTTCAATTCCCAGCAACCATATGGTGGCTCACAACCATCTGTAATGAGATCTGGTACCCTTTTCTGGCGTGCAGGCAGAACATTGTATACATATTATTAATAAATAAATAAAATCTTTAAAAAAAACAAAAAAAAACACAATCCTGGAATCTAAGAAGTGCCTGTTAGATAGACAAGGGACAAAAGAAAACTGGCAGATTTAGATGTGGGATCCAACTTCTCTCATCGTTTTTGCCTTAGAGGACACACCCCAGACTTACTTCCTTCTCTTTGTTCTTCCAAGTCAATGCTCCAGTCTTCCTCTGAAAGAAGTGGCAATAAGGGACCCAGGTACCCTGTGTGGAATAAGGGCCAGGTGTGCACCCCCAAGGCCAGCTACACAGCAAGGCCCGGAGATTTACCTCGTCCTAGTCTTCCGAAGCAGCCCTTATGACGACACTTCCTCACAGTTGCTTAAAGCAAAACCACAGCTCATGGGTGATTCACAGCCCCAGAGACTCTGAAATCCCTGGGGTAGAGCTTGGCATGACATAGCAAGTCTCACTGCAGCACCCATCAACTTAGCTTCCTTTATGGAAGTGGGGGCAGGGGACAGCACAGGGGACACTGAGTCACCAGTCACCAGTTAGACTTCTGCCTCGTCCATCTCGTGTCTCCTGCTTCCTAGATGTGTTAGGTTTCTAGGGCTGCTAAGACAAAGCCCACAGTTCTGGTGATTTAAATAGCAGAAATTTATCCTTCACATTTCATTTTCTTTTTCCTTTTTTTTTTTTTTTTTAAGACAGGGTTTCTTTGTGTAGTCTTGACTGTACTACAACTCACTCTGTAGACCAGGCTGGCCTCAAACTCACAGAGATCTGCCTGCCTCTGCCTCTTGAATTCTGAGTGCTGGGATAAAAGGTGTGTACCACCACTGCCCTTCAAGTTTCTTGAGGCTGGAAGTCCACAATTATGTGTGGGGGTAGTGTAGGCTCCTGTCCCAAGCTTCTCTCCTAGTTCTGGTGACTGTTGGAAGGCCTTGGTATCACTGTTTGGTTTTGAAATGTCCCCTGTGAGCTCTGCAGGCAACAGGCATGCACATGGCACACAGACATGCATGCATGCAAACACCTGTGCACATAAGAAAATTAAAGGGGGTAGGGGGAAAAATTAAAGGTCGGGGATGGAAGTGCATGCCTATAACCCCGGCACAGGGGAAGCAGAAACAGACCCCAGGGCTTGCTGGCTGACCAGAACAGCTGAATCAGCAAGCTCCTGGTTCAGAGAGAAACCTTATAAAAAAATGAAGAGAATTGATGAGCTATACAAGTAGCTGACTTAGTTGGCATTCTTTGCCTATGGATGCATAGCTCCAACGTGCCTCTGCCTTCTTTACCATGTGGCTCTTTCCTTTTTTTCTATAAGGACATTTAAATTGAATTTAGGTTTTTTTCCCCAGGTAAGGCCAAATTCACAAATGCATCTTTAGGCAGAGGCCAACCATTCAACTCACAACACCATCCCTGCCTATATTTCCAGAGCAAGTCTAGAAATCATCTTAGTTCCTGGAAATTGGTAAAAGTGGTGGCTCCCCGTATAGTCTCTCATGTATCCTACTTTGACATTTGATTGGGCAAGCCCCCTTTGTCAGGGAGGGAGCAGGAAATAAGAGGTGACTCGCTGGTAACAATAAGAGGGACAGCCAACAAGAAGATAGGAACATCATTGCTAACACAAGAAATTCTGCAACGTGGGGGCATCTGGCACAGGAACAAAGAGCTCCATTGGTCCTACGCAGATGAGAGCGCCATCCTGTACTCATCAAGATGATTCTGGGCCACAGGGAGAGCACTGGTGAGCGGTTTGCGTAGCACACAAAGGGTGGGGGCAGATGTTGGTCTGAAGACCTAATGCATCACCAAAGAAGGAAGCTGTAGTAGTTGGCTTGCCCACCAC